GGGAAAGAAGAAGAAGACGACTCCTTGCCTAACGGTCCAATAACAAATTTACTAACCTACCCCAAACCCTCTCTTCTAGACTGAAGCTTCATATGAACCCTCCGTACGAGCTAGAGACTTTGCGATACAGACATTTACACAACATTTTGTTATAAAACAGTAATACAAAAATTATATTTTAAAATTTGATTATGTTTAGATAAAATTATATTGAATATTTAGCTTGGTTTTAGATATGCCAACCAGAATATTCATCTCTTGTTATTATTATTATTAGCATCTAAATTCTCTATTTATTTACATACGCATTATGTAGATCATAAATTATTTTAAATTCAATATCAATATTACCTAAATTCAATATCAATATGAACCCATCGTTATGTTCTTTATACGACGACGTTTAGAGATAAATTGATGATGATCATCGTGGCCGTGGGCTGGGCTGTTCTGGGCCGCCGAGCCGTAACAAAGTGACGAAACGACGACTAATAACATTATTGGACTGTCGCAATAACCATTTCTCACAGTCCCGTGGCTTTAGTTTTCTCTCTCTGCAGTTTTGGGTTTCTATAAATAGGTCACTTGTGCCACACGGACTTGGATCTCTTTTCCCGAGGGCTTTTTCTCTTTCCTCATCCTTTTTTTTTTCTTTTTCTTTTTCCTTTATTTCTTCTTCCTTTCGCTAGCGTGAGACGACTTGAACCCTAGCAGAGGGGGGAAATCTGATTTTCTCGGGAATCAATCAGCCCGTTTAACATTTCCGCAGTGGGAAAATGCAGAATCCGAGGCTCAAGCAGCAACAACAACAAGCTCTAATGCAGCAAGCTCTGATGCAGCAACACTCCCTCTATCACCCTAGTGTCTTGGCTGCCCCTCAGGTTCCCGATTTGACGCGTTATCTTTGATTTGTGAACGAGGTTTCTGAGGATCGATTCTACGATGATTTCGTTTTCCGTTTTCTTTTTTCCCCCCTCCGCGATCGGCTTTAATTGTTGTTCATCGTTCGGCCCTAGGGATTGTTCCAATTTTCGATGTTGTAGGGGTTTTGTCTTCGAGTTCTGTGGCTTTATTTTTCCCATTCATTCTTCACGGCTGAGAATTTGTTTGATGAAGGGCTAGGGTTTGGAATTCTTGTTCGTCAGTTATCTTCTAATATCTTTGTGTTTCACATTCCCTTTAAATTTTGTTTCCTGCTTTCGTATTTTGCAGATAGAGCCTGTCCCAAGTGGAAACCTGCCTCCCGGTTTTGATCCCAGTACTTGCCGTAGCGTGTGGGTGGAATTTGATGTTCCCATTTGTTATTATATTTGGTTTCCTTGATTCCTGGTTACGGGATTTCACTAGATATACCAGTGCAATCGAAAAAATTGGTGAAGTTAAAAGTTTTTATCTGAATTGATTTTGAGGTTGCAGATATGTCGGGAACATCCACACACAGGTCACAGAGGAACTTATTCAAGAGATTTTTGCAAGTACTGGACCTGTAGAAAGCAGCAAACTCATAAAAAAGGATAAGGTCTGATTTGCTGATTCATTCTTCGCGTCCTATTGCAAACGCAACTTTTTCCTAAATGTTTTTTTGACCTCTTCTACAGTATCATTTCCATTCACCAGATAAACATAAGAAAATTACCTTTTCTTATGACGCTGTAATATTTTTGGAGTGATCTGCTTGTTTAACCTCATATCTGCTGCTCTAGTGAAACCGATTTCATGTTTGCGAGAGATTGACACATTTTCCGTATGCATGTTTGTGTCGTACACAGTCATCATATGGTTTTGTCCACTACTTTGATAGAAGGTCTGCTGCTCTGGCTATAATGTCTCTTAACGGAAGGCATTTGTAAGTAACAATGCTGATAACTCTCTTCCTTAATTTCCATTCAATGGTACTCGCTCTTAGATCATGACATGGAATTCACAGATTTGGACAGCCTATCAAAGTTAATTGGGCATATGCCACAGGTCAGAGGGAAGACACATCCAGTAAGTTCTGATTATGCACTATTATATTCCATTCGTTAGACTGATGGTTTTGTTTGGTCGTTTTCAGAGAGATCATTTGTGTTCTATGGTTTTGTTGTCACGGGATGCAGGCCATTTCAACATTTTTGTGGGAGATCTTGGTCCAGAGATTACAGATGCAACATTATTTGCTTGCTTTTCTGTTTATCCCAGTTGCTCGTAAGTTTAATGCTTGGTTAACATCTTCTAATGAATATCTAGTTTGATTCATATGATGTATCCAACTCTATGCATACAAGATTAACCTTTTGATTAAGGTTATCTGTTTGAAGTGTGCCACCTTACTCTTAGTGGTCGGCTGATCTAATATATTTATTTCTCTTGCAGGGATGCAAGAGTCATGTGGGATCTGAAAACTGGGCGTTCAAGAGGTTTCGGGTTTGTTTCCTTTCGCAATCAACAGGTATTATATTCCTTTTATTCTGTGATGACGAACTATGCCATTACCGGATTGTTTATTCATGGTTTGCAATGATTTGAAATGTTAATTTTGTTGCAGGATGCTCAGTGTGCAATAAATGACATGAATGGTAAGGATCATACAGTGTTCAAGGTCTGATGATGGCCTTAAGGTTCTCATCTGTGATTATAGTTCTTACATGTTGATATTCTTGGGTTGTGCATGCCATTTTATTATAATGCGCCTTATGCCAACTTTTTTGCTGTGTGCCAGTCTATGACTATTGGTCTTGAATCTTCTGCTGTGCTGATGAGGCCCTGCTTCTAGAATTGAGATCATATCTTTCTTCCCAGCACGCTGATCTTGCTAGTACTGTGGCCTTTTATTTTCTCCTCCTCCCAGGTAAATGGTTGGGAAGCAAACAGATCAGATGCAACTGGGCAACAAAAGGTGCAACATCTGGTGACGATAGGCAGAGTTCTGACGGAAAAAGCGTTGTTGAACTTACAAATGGGTCTTCAGGTTTGTCTTCTGTGGTTTCCTTTGATTGTTGTGCAATTTTTTAGTTTTCCTTGTACAGCTTCAATAGGAAATTATGAGGATTGCATTGATTAAAAATGTTAGTATTTGTGATTGTGAGGGAAGTGGTGGGTTTTACTAGCTGCTGATTGGAAGAGGTTCCACTAATACATTTATTTGATTACTGATTGTGTAGAGGATGGTAAAGAGACAGCAAATGAGGATGCTCCTGAAAACAATCCTCAATACATGACTGTTTATGTAGGAAACCTTGCTCCTGAGGTAAGATTTTGGCTTTATATAGGTACAGGTTATAGCAAGTACAGAATCTGTAACACACGGACGCAGCTGTTGGAGTTCCTTGGATGAATTTCTGCATCAATGGATGTCAGTACCTATCTTGTTCTGTTTTGTGTCTTTTTTCAGGTAACACAGCTTGATCTACACCGTCACTTCCATGCCCTTGGTGCGGGAGTTATTGAAGAGGTCCGAGTCCAGCGTGAGAAAGGCTTTGGTTTTGTGAGGTATAGCACTCATGCTGAGGCTGCTTTTGCTATTCAAATGGGCAACTCTCAGCCTTACCTCTTCAACAGACAGATAAAGGTACTCCAACATTTGAATATTCTGGTTTGACTGTTCCCAAGTTCACATCAGTCGACTTCTTTAGAGATTGTATCTTTGCTTGGTTGGTGTAGGGATCTCGTAATGTGGTAAATGGTATAATCTGACGAACAAGAGTCTCAGAAATGAGATTTTCCATGTCATTGTCAACCAATACAAAGCAAAAGAAGTGTTTTTTTTTTTTTAAATCATGTTTCCCATTAGTTAGTTACACACGTGTCTTATATGCAGTGCTCTTGGGGGAACAAAATAACTCCGCCAGGAACGGTGTCGAACCCGCTTCCCCCACCGGTTCCAGGGCATGTGTCAGCAGCGGAACTGTTAGCATACGAGCAACAGCTGGCAATGAGCAAGATGGGGGGAGTGAACCCGTTGATGCATCATCCCCAGGGACAGCACCCTCTGAAGCAGGCAGCAGCTCTTGGGGCTGGAGCAAGCGCGGCGATGTACGATGGTGGCTTCCAGAACCAGCACCTCATGTACTATCAGTAATAATGACCCCCACGGTATCATCATCATCGTCATCATTTACCCTTTTTTTTTTAATATAAGACGTGAGTGTCGGTCCTATATGTCCAGAGATCATCTTCTCTACATATATTTGTGAGGTTTGTTGCCCGACATGTTATGGATATAAATGTTATCTGCAGTTGTGTATGAGGTAGTTAATGCTAAGTATGCCAAGTGATAAAAACATTCAATAAGAAGAGGATTTGGAATCAGTTGTGTATGCTTTGATATTTGAAAACATGACAGGGAGCCGCTCTTTCTCTAACCCGGGGCATTGTTTTTGTGGTAGAATATTCCAGCTCTCCTAGCTCGGTATAGCAGTCCCCCAAGATCCCGAGAGAGCTCCTTCTCGGGGCTCCCCGTTACTTAGAAAGTCCTTCCCTGTTTTTCAGCTTTCAGAGAATCTGGCTCCTAAGAGGAGCCTGCCTTAACCGTTCGTTTCGACCTCTCCAACTCTCCCCTCCGTTACAGGATATTAAAAGAAAAAAAAACGTAATCGGCGATCGAATACTCGGTATAAAACAGAATAGTAGCCACCCTTTATAAGGGGATTGGTTCACAGAACTGCCATGGCTGGCAATTCGAGCTCGTCGATGACTTCTTGTCTGCCTTTTCAATCCCGATGAAAGTTCATGGCTTCTTAGTACTCACTCCTAATCCCTCCGAATCTGACAGACAACTTTGTCTGAAAAATCCGTACAGGCGATTTCCCAAGTTTTCTTCTTCCAATTTCCCAAATGATGGGATGGATCGTGGTCATGTCGGAACCCGCTGCGTCAATCAGAGTGTTTTGATATGGGTTGGAGTCATGACGTCGACGAGCGGATATTCAAAATTTCAAAGAGAAAGCCTTTTGCCATTATGACGAAGCTCAGAAGCCGAAGAGACACCTTGGAGATTCGCAAATCACGAGAAACCTTTTTTTTCTTTTCTTTAAAAGGGACACGAACGAGCCTTCTTGCTGGAGAACCTCGGCTCGGACCCACGAAAGCGACTGTCTTCGGCGAATTTACGGGAGCATAGCCATGAACCGCGGTGGCTGCAGTAGTTCACGGGGTCGTTCTACGGCTTCTGGGTGCCCGTCCGATCGCTGGAAAATTGAAATTCCGGTACGTCATATCTCGGCGACGTTTCGTTTTCATGGTTCCTTGCATGATTTGAGCTGTTCCTTTCTATGTCTTTCGTCGTCGTCGCAGGAGGGTTCTTCTTCTCCGCCTCCGTCATTTGGTCGGAAGCCTTGTAGTGAAGAGGATTCTAGTAGTGCTTGCGACTCCGACGGTTTGGGGAATTGTTCCGATAGGGATAATATGAAGCCCTTTGATATATTCCTCGAGAAGAAGGGGACTCCGTTCACGCTAAAGCCTCCCTTGCTTGCCCAGAACAGAGAAAGGAGAAATGCCGTTAAGAAATCTACTGTAGGGCATAACGGAGTTGTGCTTCGATCCGGGATGGTGCTTCTGAAGAATTTCTTGTCAATGGATGATCAGGTTCTCTCTCTCTCTCTCTCTCCATGTATTTCGTGTATCTGTTTTCCCCCCTCATATGCTTGTTTTTCCTTGTAAACTGCTGCTAGGTGGTGATACTGAAAACTTGCCGCCAGCTTGGTTTGGATGAAGGTGGTTTCTATCAACCAGGCTACAGAGATGGAGCTAATCTCCGTTTGAAAATGATGTGCCTTGGAAAAAACTGGGACCCTGAAACATGTCAGTATGGGGACACTCGACCAGTTGATGGCGCAAAACCGCCAAAAATTCCTCTTCAGTTCAATCGGTTCGTCGAAAGGGCCATTAAAGAATCGCAGACTCTGATCGCTAGAAACTCCAAGAGGGCCAATGGGGAAGATGGGATCCCTTCTATGTCAGCCGACCTCTGTATTGTTAACTTCTATACATCTACTGGGCAGCTCGGTCTTCATCAGGTTATATTCATGAGAAACAACTTCTCGGTTTGCTGAAGCTTAGCGTTCTTGTGTCGGTCAGTATGTTATGAAAGAATTGCCTTTCCAACGGCGAATATATGAAATCTTGGTTATTTTTGTTTCCCCAGGACAAAGATGAGAGTGAAGAATCTCTGCAGAAGGGACTGCCTGTGGTTTCGTTTTCCATTGGAGATTCAGCAGAGTTCTTGTATGGCGACCAGAGGGATGTCGACAGGGCGGATAAGGTCGTCTTGGATTCTGGAGATGTTCTGTTATTTGGCGGCAAAGCTCGGAAAGTCTTTCATGGTGTGAAGTCAATTCTTCCCAATACCGCTCCCAAGACGCTCCTTCAACTAACAGATCTCCGTCCAGGTCGTCTGAATCTAACTTTTAGACAGTACTGAAATCCTTGGTACTGTTTTGTGCTCTTCATCTGGTTTTTCTATGTTTTCTGTCTGGACAACTTTGTCTCTTTGAAGTGAAATTCAAGTTCCTTATTTAGCTACATCTGTTTAGTGTTATGTCCATTAAATTAGTAATCATGTTTCATTGTTTTGTGTATTACATCAATTTCTTGGAAATCCGCATATAGTGGCAAGCAAGAGTATATTTTCTCTTCAGTCCCTCTATATATTCTCTGACAGAGCTCTGTCTTTCAAGTTTAGATCTCTGGCTCTGTTCCTCCCCCTCCTCTGACGCATTGTCATGAAATCCACTGTGTATTGCTTTGTCCAAGAATCTCAAGAACAGGCTTCTTGATCCGTGTGGCTCTTTTATAATCCTTTTTTCATCTGCACCCGTTCTCTTGTCCACGTTCTAGCTTTTTCTCGGCTTTGGTTAGAGTTGCTGAAGAATTTTTTGGGGTCTTTGCCGTTTTGCTTGAAGGATTGGTCTTTTCTGCTCAACCTGTCATGACTCTCCGTCGAAATTTTGAGTGGTTATTGATTTTATTGAAATCGAGTTAGGTTAATACAGTTAATTAAGTAAACCAAGTCATAATCAAAATATGTAAATAATTAGTCATGATTTTTTTTAGAAAAAAAAGTGTTTGTTTTTTTTGGTACAACCAAAGTCCAAGTTGAATATAAACCGAGCCGAATGCAATGTTCATTTTTTAAGTTAGTTTTCTACAGTTCCTACAAGTTATCTCTTTTGTCGTAAAACTAAAAACAGAATTTTGGCAATTCTTTCACTCCATAATATATATATATATATATATATATATATATATATATCTGTATATATATGAATTGATCCATGGCTTGTTGCTCTGCTATGAAAAAAAAATCAGGAACAAGGGACAAGCAAATCTTATTTTAGAAAATGTTCGCTTGTTATTTGTATATTAAGAAAATAATACTGCATACAATAATTTTCGGCATTTGGATTCGGGACGGAGATAAAGCTTATCAATTAGGAGTGAGCGTTTCGGGAAACGGTTTGGATTCGGGACGGGAATGGATCCGTTCGGTTCTTTCGGTTTTACAAAATAGGTACCAATCGATTTTTATATTGTATTCGGTTCGGTTTGGTTTCAGTATCGATTCGGTTCGGTTCCGGATTTTATTAAAAAAGGATAGATTTCTTTTAAAAATATTCAGTTTTTCGGGATTTTAAAAGTTCGGTTCGGTTCAATTCGGTTCCGGAAAAATTCGGTTCTTTAAAAATGGTACCGTTCGAAAATTAAAAACGGTTTCGGATCGAAAAAAATACTGTTTTTTCGGTTCGGTTCGATCCAGTTCCGAAGAACCAAACCGAAACGCCCACCGCTATTATGAACTGCATGCGTAGTTTATCATGCGTGTACGTTAATGATAATAATGGCCGCGATGAGAGAGGTTGTATATTTCCACGCGCTGAAATTCTCGAAACTTAAGAAAATGACAAAATCGGTGGTCTATAGTCCAGGGATTTTGAGCGCGTACCGTTAACTCGCGTATCATGCGCGTGGAAAATACAAATCCAGCTCTTCGGCCGTCAAACTACTTTAGTATGGGCCGATCCGTGCTTTATCTTCTCGCAACCACCAAGGCCCGTATAGGCCCACTCATTAAAGATTTCTTTTTTTAAAATGATTAAAATATAAATTATCCTAAATATTTTAAAATTAAATATAAATCAAGATAATTAAATTATTTTTTAATTGTAAAACATGCATTATGCACTAATTGATTTCTTTTTTCTTTTTCTTTTTAGCAATATTCAATAAGAGTAGTAGATTTTTAAGAATTTATAAAAATTTTCTAGAATCTAAACAAAATTCTTTGTTGTGAAATTAATTTTTTTAAGAAAAAAGAATCATTGGTTTTTGGAACTTTTTGAAAATCCAAGATTATTAGAAATATATTAAACTTTTAATTTTTCTGATTATAAAATAAATATAAATATTCTATCAAAAAACATAATATATAAATCTGTAAATAAAATTTTTTAAAATCTATATAAAATTTAAAGTCAATTATCAAAATACGAAAATTTGAATATCTTAAGATTACAGCAAAATATTTTAAAAAGATAATCAAGATGATAATTAGGATTAGATTAAGAAAAATCAATTCAAATAATACAATTATATCAGGTTTTATATTATATATATAGATAGATATATATAAACATTGTAAAATTCAAAACTAAAATCCGAATTAAATAAAAACAGAATATAAAACAAAAAAATTCTGAAATTTGATTTTTATGAAAAAGAGTATTTTTTATAAACAAAAACAGAACTCGAATGGGTTTAAATTTTAGGGGTGGTCGTTTCGGTATTCGGTTCGGAATTTTAACGGTTCGGTTCGGGAACAGTTTATTCGGTATTATAAAATTTGTATCAAATTAGTACCGTATATTATTCGGTTCGGTTCGATTCGGTATTATGACGGTTTGGGACGGAACGATACTAATAAATAAGTACCAAATAAGAACCGAAATAAAAACGGTTCGGAACGGTTCGGGACGGTTCATATAATTCATATAGTATAAAAATAAAAAAATCTAACATAATAATTTAGACAACAAAATAAAAGTTTTAAATTTGATGTAACCGTAAAGAAATTTAACATAATAATTTTGAAATTTTCTATAAATATGATCAAAACTTTAAATTACGTTTTAAAAATCATATTATATATTATTATATATGTAGAAATCAATCTTTTTTTACCAATAAAATAAAGTATCTGTAATATAAAAAAATAAATAAAAAGAGATAAAAATAAAATATTTATAAAGTAAAATATAGACAACTTACTATTAAATATAATCAAAATTAATAAAAATAAATAATTTATTGAACTTTGATAATGCTAAACAAAATAAATATCACTATTAATTATTATTAATAAATAAAATAAACATAAATCTAAATACATGACGTAAACAATTTATTAATATTTAGTAATTATCATAATTAATTATTAATATTAAATATTTTTTAATTAAAAAATAAAAATACCGAAATACCGTTCGGTATTTTCCGAACTGAACCGAACCGTTTCCGAACCGTTCAGTATCTTAAATCTTGTACCGTTTGGTATTTTTATATAATACCGAACCGAACCGTTTCCGAATTAATCGGTTCGGTACGGTTCGGGACTAAATTTCCGAATCGAATTGCCCACCCCTGCTAAATTTTGTAAGAGTAAACTTGAAACAGAACTCGAATGGGTTTGTGAAAAAGAGTGTTTTTTATTTCTTTGTCATAGTTCTGTTTTAAATCCTAATATTGATTATAATAAAGATTATAAGGTGATTATTTATGTCAACGAAGCTCATTTTACAACAATCAGAAGATGAATCAGAGTCTTTATTACAGGAAATCGTGGATTTGAAAGTACCTTTCTTTACCTTTACATCGTCTATTGAGGTTTTACTGAACTGCGCGAACTTGAACCTCGAGTTCTTCATCTTGGCTTCGAATCACTTCCTTTGCTACGAAAATTGGAGAGTGAAAAGAATGATCTTGGTGCTGCATCAAATCAGCAGCAATAAGCTTTAGAATGGGCAATCCATAATGGATTTATGCAATAAGATCTGGTGGCTTTCCGGCAGAACACAGATTCTCATCAAGATGGACATGGAGAAGTGTTGTAAAGAAGATTCGAATGAGTGATCAAACCTTTGACAGCATTTCCAGACATCTGATCCTCCTTCAGCTTAAAGTTCATAGGAGTAGGAGCTGGCATGGAACCAACCCCTGTTGTTTGAGCTGAAACAGAGAAACACAACTAAGATCATGTCCTTAAAACACCGATGGACATTAACACGAAATCCAGAATCAAAGAAGGACATTAAAGTCTAGCATGCATTACTTGATCATGTGTAAGTTTGGTTCTAATGTAATGCAATGTCTAATTTGGTATGAGGATGTAAGTGTAACAGGTGTACTTTTGGGAAAAGAACAGGTTACCCGGTTCACTGAACAGCAGCTCACTCTCATTGAAGCTCTCATCAGAGGGATGACTCTGTAAGAATCCCATTCTTGACTTTCGCAACTCTTCTGATGGCCGATTTGCATGATGATCTCTTCCATCTTCTGTATCATCATCCCCTTCAGACGTTGTAGCTGATATCCAGTCAACCAAACTATCGTTTCCACGTGTTTTTCTTCCGAAATTTAATAGCCTTTTCAACCCTTTTGTCATGTCCTTTCGGGGTTGGTTTTGAGATGGATAACCGGCGTTAATATGTTTCTGAGCAGCTCCCCATTTCTTTCTTATTTGAGTTGCATCATCCTCCATGTGATTAAGAGAAGGAAAATTCCAGAACGCAGGACTACCCACTGGAGAATCCACAGAAGCATCAAAATCGTTTGGATACGAAAATTGATGCTTCACCCTTGAATTCCAAGAAACAGGGCTTTCACCCGGTGAATCCAGCAACGTAGCAATGGTTTGATGCCTTGAAGTCATAGTAGCAGGTAATTCAGCATTTGAGCCACGGTCATCCCGAGAAACAGATCTCACTTCCTCACCGGTATTACCCCAATCATCAAACCCTTGGCTATTTAGTGGTTTCCCATTTTCTGTATCATCAGTACAGGCTTCGACTTCCACGGCCTCAAGATCTTCTTCTTCCACCACCTCTTTCCCCGTCTCCTCTGAGCCCTCAGACTCGAAGGCATGCTCATAATACTTCTTTTCATTTCTGAATCTCTCAGATCCCTCAGAAGCGTTTAGCAGGGCAATATCATAACCGATACCCAGCCCAAGATTGTTACATTGTCCCTCTCTTTGCTCCTGGTCAAGATTCAGAGGGACACCATCATCAGATTTCTTAGGAGACAACTCTTCCAACTCAGCAGCTTCAGAAGCAGTTTTCCTGAGGATTGTTGGCCTCCGTGGCTTTTCTTCTTCCTTCGTACTCTTGGGGCAGGTTGAGTTTCTCGCCTGTGAACGGGAACCAGTTTTTCCAGCTCCAGAGGATGGTTTCATGCCTTCCTTCTTGACATCAGAGAAGTTGGGAACTGATTGTGCAAGTGGTCTGTCTGATTGCCCTCTCCGCCTAACAGCACTGGCCGTAGAAACTTTAACTGCGGAGCGTGGAACTGGTGTAGCAGCTGTTCGAGTAGTCAAGAAATTGTTTCTGTTTTGTTGAAGTTTCTTATTCTGGGTGTTCCTGGAAGCATCCTCATCTTCTTCACCCTGAAATGAGCTAATTGGATGCTGTCAAAACCATTACATTATCAGATTAGAAAACATAAGATAAAGCTTCATCATCTCGATAGCTTTAGCTATCACAAGCAGTTTTCCAGTTGCAGAAAACATGGTTCACCTGTTCCTTTTTAGCACTCAGCCTTGAACTGAAGTACGCAAGTTTCTCTGCACGTCGAGCATTTGAATCACCTTTTGCAGAAGATAAAGAAAATTTGGCCTTCAACTCAGCATTACTGTGATCAAGTACATCTTGCATTGCCTTCAATTTGGCTTCCTTCTCAGACCTTCTAGAACTCCATTCTTCCCTCAACTTTGCATCTCTTTTCTCCATATACTTCTCGTATAACTTTCCTCTAGAATCACCTGAAGAGCTGAAATCTGAAAATTTCTGCCTCAGTGTATCCCCATAATAGTCATTGTTGCCAACCATCTTTGATGTTGGTGGAGTTCTGAAGTTGTCTGCATCGGCTGATCTTAAAGTGGGTTTCATCATTATCTTCCCATCGGGTAGTTGTGCAGGAGATGATTCCGGAACTGCAGGTCTTCTAAGCTGTGAAGTTGCCACTTGTTCACTTGACTTTCCGGCAGGCTTTCCTCGTTGAGCAGGACTGGATTGTTCCCCAGGAATGCGGAGCATATGTTCAGCAAATAGCTTTTCAAGCTCGTTTGCTTTCACTTTCAACTCATCATTCAGATCTTGATTTCCCTTTCTCAGTCTCGCCCTTTGAGCTTGTTCTGCTGCCAATTGATGTGTTAGAGCATCTTTCTCTGAGTTCTCTGAAATACTGTAGCAAGTGATAGTCGGCTTTGCATTCACATCAACAGAACAAAGTCCAATCTTTTGATCATATGGCCTTTTCATCTGTTCAGAACCTAAAAGAAGTTAAAGAGAAAGATAATCAGAAGAGAGAGTTGCTAATTTTTGTCCTTCCAAGTCCATAATAAAGGAAACGAAGAGAAAGAATAGAAAGGGAAAAAACTTAGATTTCTGTGGTTAAAAACAAGAAATGCTTCACCCTGGAACATGCATGTGAACTAAAACCTCACCGTATCCCTTCAGGCTTCAGTCACTAACCTGCAGAAACTGGAATCTGGGCCCTCATTCTCTCGAGATCTTCAGCTAAGGATGGTTGTCCATCTGAAGATATTAGCTCTTTCTTCTGAAATTCCACAGTTCCTCCATTGTACCGGATACTCATACTGTAAGGTTGATCAGCACTACCTACATGCTGTATAAAGTTCTGGCTGTTCGATTTTAGATCACCCATGCGCTCATTGGATTCATCAGTTACTTTGTCATTCCCTGATTTATCCAAAGTCCCTATGGAGTTTACCTCAGAGTCCGATCGGTACATGCAAATGGAACTTTTTTCCCCACGGACCAGAGAACCATTCTGTTGAATTCCATGGTGTCCCACTTGGTTCTTCGTATTCGATTGCACCTTCAAGCCCACTTCCTTGGTTTTTCCCAAGATACTAGAACTTGAATTTTGAATCTCTACTTGGTTCATAAAGCCCTGGTCACCAACACTGTCAGAACCATGTTTTTCTTCAATTCTATAAGAATTTGCAGGAATACCCGAATCATTTTGGTCTTTCTGGTCACTGGTGATAAGTTGTTTTGGATATATATTGCTTCCATCTTTCGACACAGATGATGATGAGGGCGTGCACAATGGACTATCACCAGAACCATCCTTCTTGTCATTGCCCAAATCAATGCTCATGTCACTAGCGCCACTCCATCTCCTTAACGCGGCCTTGTCTGCACCTGTCAAAGATGATGAATCAGAAGAGATTCTTTTCACCTCAATGGATTTGCCTACAGCTGGCTTCCCTCCAGAGTTTGAGCTCTCCTTCTGCTTGTTCTCAAAGAGGTTGATTCTATCCTGCACGCTAAGCCTTCTTGTGAGTTGTTTGGGCTGACTTGCCAACGGCTCCTTCACCACTGGACCTTTTTCCTCTTCTTCATTCTTTTCTGTTTTTCTACTTTGTTGCATTAGAAAGTTGGGATCAGACCGGAACTGCTGAAATGTAGGAAGCTTTGATTCTTGTTGAGAATCTTTCAGTCCACTTTGATGGAACCTATCTTTTTGGAGTCTAATACCCTCTTGGAGTCCAGAGTGTTCTTCACTGGGATCATCGATAGACATATCAGATCCCCATGAAGCTCGTATGGCTTCGTCTTCCAAAGTGGCTCTCCTAGAGATGTTAAGCTCTGGCCTTCTTTGGCAAAGAGAGATAAATTTCGTACATGCTTCACTGCAGTAAGATTGGTCGACCAAGTAAAATCAGAATTTGCATCACTGAAAATTAAGAAAGCCGAAAACCAAAACTTATTTGGAAATTTAAGATATAAAAAAGGCATCTGCTAAAAAAAGTGGGAAGACTCACCAATTTATCTTTCAGTAACTCAAATGATGACATCTAAATCTTGTAGTTTCCGTTAGACATCCTAATCATGGAAAATAGTATTCATCCACCTAAAAGCAGTTCTAAAGTCTACATCAAACCAAACCTACCTAAAATTTATAATCCATTGTGACATTTATAATGCCTATCAAGATTTCTGTTTATGGAAAAAACTTTGTCAGCTACGATAGAACAAGGATGGACCCAATAACATACATTGATGGCTGTGTGTATATATATGCATTTCTAGAAGATCATATCGAAATCAGGCCTTGCAGTTTTGAGGCCTAAGGTTCTGTTTAGAAGAAATACCAATCATCCTTTAGTATCACAAGACTTAAACCTTCACAAAAGCATCAGAGTTTCACTAGAAGTTGGATGTAAAAGTTATAACCAATGATTTTTTTTTTAATCTCATTTTTTCATTATGTTTAGAATACTATATAAATTAAACTCAAGACCTCTTTTCTATCACAATTTTTAGGTTATTTTTTATTTTGATTAGGATTTGACCAAAATTGAATTAATTTGTTTTTTTTTAAATGACACCTAACCAAGCAGGAATTGATGCAAGAATATGGTGATCTGTTACAGCCAAAAATCAGATAGCCAACGATTTGCAAAATCTAGAAACCATAATACAGTCGCCACTTTTTCTGTTCAAACTTGAATAAGCGAGAAATTAAAAGGCTCTATAAAGGATTCAACAAATACTCAAAAAAGGCTGAAAGGAATGTAAAGATCCAACGAACAATGGATGATATGAAGGCTATATAAATACTTACTTCAAGCGAATGGCCCCAAATCGATCAGCAAATTGGTTTAATTCAGAGACTGTGTTACGATAGAAACCAGCTGCAGATGCACGATTACGTGCAGTCGCTAGGTCCTGCCTAACTGCTGCCAGTCGCAAATCAATAGCTCTCAGTAGCTCCTTCCTGGAAAACGTACAGTAACCGGAATTTTTTTTATGAGTATATCGCATCGAAGTCAGAGCATGAAAATTGAATTAGAACTCTGCATCATGCCATTGGTTTAGGCAAATCTTCTTACATTGTATCAGACTCAGAAGCATACTTCTAATCCAGTGTCATACAATATAGAATTACATAATACAGTTAAAATTACAAGCCCGATTTCAGGATGAAGCAAAAGACATGTTAACATCTTTGTCATCTTAAAAAAGAGTCATAATTCATCAAAGAGAAAAATCATTGAGCATAGAAACAGAGATTTTACTTCGTCACATCAGCTGCCGCCATAGCTTCTGTGTCATCTGAACCAAGAAAAGCTAAGACAGATTATGCCAAACCAGGCAAGAAATGACAAAGTACATGGTTCAGTTGGCATAGGATGGAACTTCATGGGTATAAATGGAAACAATAATTTTCAGAATGAACAACGATGAAAGGCCACCAAAGGACAGTAGGCAGCAAGCTTCTGAAAGACAGTCTCATTTACATGCCAGTTTGTAAAAGGTACTCGAGAAAAAACACATTTGGCACCATCTAAAAGTTTCTATGTCAAATCTAATAGATGTTTATATTACACATAATCCACAAGACCCAAGGTAAAAACAAATTAGCTAGTTAACCTTATATTGGATCTTTTTTCAAATTCAGCTGTAAAAATCAGTCAGGGTAAAACTCATATACCTTGGGAGCATGAGTTACAACTTAAACAACATACTTCCCTAGCTTCAATTGTGACTTACCCAACCGACACTATCTAATTCTATTTGACAGTTTCGATACATACATCATCACTATGCAGAATCTTCAAGTTGATTGATAAGCTTCTGAAGGTTTATGATGGTAGGAACAAGAGCTGCAGGGAAGAGAAGGAAGTCACTGCAAAAGGAACAAAGGCTTGATGTGTTTTCTAGGTATGTTCTATAGTATTGTGTGTTTGTATGTTTATATTAATTCTATATTATGTTAGATGGATGTTAGGAGTTGATTAATGACAGTTAGGAGTTTTAGTTAGACAGCTCAGCATTAGTTTTGGTTGTAACGGAGCTTTATAAGGCTTGAGTTGAGGAGAGAAGGGGTTTATGTCGTGTTTTATGAGAAATCTGTAAAGGAATAAACCCCTTCTCTCCTCAACCCAAGCCTTATAAAGCTCAGTTACAACCAAAACTAATGTTGTGCTGTCTAACTAAAACTCCTAACTGTCATTAATAACTCCTAACATTCATCTAACATAATATAGAATGAATATAAACATACAAACACACAATACTATAGAACATTCCTGTAAAAACATACCTAAAAACCACATCAAGCCTTTGTTCCTTCTGCAGTGACTTCCTTCTCTTCCCTGCAACTCTTGTTACTCCTACCGTAAAACTTATCAATCAACTTGAAGATTCTGCATAGTGATGATGTATGCATCGAAACTGTCAAATAGAATTAGATAGTGCCGGCTAGGTAAGTCACAATTGACGCTAGGGAAGTATGTTGTTTAAGTTGTAACTCATGCCCCCAAGGTCTATGAGCTTTACCATGATTGATTTTTACAGCTGGATTTGAAAAAAGCCACAGGATATAAGACTAATTAGCTAATTTGTTTTTACCTTGGGTCTTTTGGACTATGTGTAATATAAACATCTATTACATTTGACATAGAAACTTTTAGATGGCGCCAAACCTATCATTGATGCACAGAATATACATCCAGAAGACAAGTTAACGACAATACATACCTCTTGATGCAGACAGCTGATCACCAGTCCCCTAAAATTAAACATTGTGAAATTCAGTAGAAACATCCCAGTTAACATAGCACTGGCTTCCTCGGAGTTAAATGACATGAAGTACCTCAGCATATATTTTTTGGGCTGCTTCCAACTGTGACATCTCCACATCCAACGCATTTACTAATTCCAAAACCTCTGGGGTACTAACAAACCGCACAAATCTAGAAACCAGCAGACAGGAGAATATCAAAAGTGTTAGCATGAGCCGTGTTCCAAAAGACATGAACATCAGGTTTGGCACTGCATATGACCTCTCAAGTGTCCCTTTTGTGAACCAATTTTCAGCAAGTTTGTTGCTTTCAACTTCTAGTCTGATTGACTGAACTGCCTCGCCAAACTGCTCTTCTGCTACTTTTAAATGAGCAACAAATGGCTTCACTAATCCAGAAGCCAGCTTCTCAGTATTCCCCGCACAAGACACAAACAATTCACATCTGCCAGAAATGAAAGAGGAAAATATTATCTACAAACCTCACAAAAACCGGCACTCTAACTGGGAAAAGAAGAGCCATTATGTAATAAATTTACCTTGTTCGCTTCGGGGAAAGCTGGAAGATAGCATAGTCAAGGGGAGTAGCGGGTTTCATCTTCAGCTCGATATTATATAACCCTATACAATATCATCAGTCTTAATATCAAGCTAACAGCCTAACCATCAATCTTGAACACTTTCACAAGCTCTGGAGACTAGAGACCATAATTCAAATACTAAGTAAACAACAAAGTAAAGGTCATCTCGAAAACTTGAAAAGCTACAAGAATTTGAAGCCACAGCAAATTCTTCTCAAGAGAACAAATTCCATTGACTAACCTATCGACGTGGGAAATCAAACAGAAGACTCTCACAATTATATAGAAATCTTAAGCAAGAAGATAAAATATTGAATCCGTAATTCGATCAAATTTAACAGAACTAAGGAGAGATTATCAAAATAGTAACCCAAAGCTTCACAAGACTCAGAATCAAGTGCATTGCTAGATCCGAGTCCAATCTTGGAAACTTAAAACTCGATTCGATTAAGGAAAGTAGTTCACGAGGATTAAAATCGCATCCATGAGAAAAAGAAACGGCGATTCAAATTCAAAACAAAGTAAAATACTCAAGAATGAACAGACAGAACAAAACTTTACTGCAAGAAAAGAACACCCAACAAATCAAGATGGTGTACTTGTCGGATCGTCCAAGTCAGAGGATACATACCTGCGAGTAGAAACAAGCGAGATCTTCGTGTAGTTCCGACGAATCGGTCTCTTCCGGAAGATTCACATACAAAAAGCGACTCTCATTGCCGAGTCTCTTTCTGCATCTCCTCCCACTACAAAACTTTTTCGTTCTTCCGAAAGATTCTTAAAACCCTAATAATTGCGATTGTTTTTGGCCTCACTAAGACCTCAAATTGATTTTTCAAAATGTTCGCTTTCGTATAGCTTCTTCCGCTGGGAAATGGTGGTCTCTCCCTCCGCCATGAACTCCCTTTTTTTCAAAGATTCAGCAGAGAGAGAAAGCAAAATCTGGAGAGAGAGAGAGAGAGAGAGATGTCTTGGACAGAAATCACCATTTTTGTTGACGTGAATAGTAATAGAGCGTAAATTTGAAATTTTAAAAAGATATTGAAAAAATATATAAAATTACAATGTCGGTTTAAAGGTGAATATTTGTGATTTTATTATTCTCCATGTTTACTTTTTTTCAGAAAAGTTTTATTTTATAATAAATATCTATTTAATTTTATATCAATTACTGATTTATTATGACCATTTCAGCTTATAAAATTAGGATTTGGCCAATACTTTAAAGAGGAATTTTTAATATAACACAAATAAGACCTAAAATCATTAAATAGAGTACATATATTATCAATTTAAATAAAATATGTCTTTATATTCTGAATAGTATATTTCACCCATATCTTTTTATTATTTTTAATTATATAAATGATCGTATCAAAAATAAAATATGAACAATAACCATTTCTTTTCCAACTTTTTTTTTGTCAAAGTTTCTTTTCCAAATTTTTGTAGACATCCGTAAACAAATGCTGATCCCGCAAAAAAAAATCATAAAAAATATATAAAATAAGCAATCACCTTTTTCTCTTAATTAAATGGAGAATTCGCCAAAAAAACAGGTGAGTAGTGAGGTTTTTTATTTTCGATTGTTCTTTCCGATCTTTCTTTTGTTTTTTTTTTTTTTTTTTTTTGTGAATCCGATCATCCTTTTTTTTCCAATCTTTCTTTTTTTTTTTTTTTTTTTTTTTTTTGTGAATCCGATCATCCTTTTTTTTCCAAAATAAAAACAAAAAATCATATATTAAACCACGTCCTGTAAAATAATAACCCTTTTAGTATTCACTATTTAATGTGTGCATAAATAGTGATTTGTGATTAATCAAGGCAACTAATACAAAGGCAACCTTATTATATTAAAATCCAACCAACAAAATGAATGAGAAAAACATCTCAACAGATGTTTGTTTGTTGGCAAACAATCTCTTAAGGAAAAATATTGCTGTGACTTGTTATAGACAAAATAGAATCGAATAATGTATAATTGTATTTTAATCGAGTTTATAACAAAATTTATTAAAATAATTTTTAAAATAAAAATTAATCAAACACAAAATACATTAAAAAATAATTGAAAAAATGGAATAAAACAAAAAAAAATAAATGGTTTATTAAAATAATTTTTAAAATAAAAATTAATCAAACACAAAATACATTATAAAATAATTGAAAAAATGGAAAAAAAACAAAAAATTAAATGGTTTTTCTAATGAAACTTAAATAATTCAAATTGAAATGAAAAAAAAAATATAAAACCGTTATTTTTAAAGATATGGATTGTGATGCTCCGGACACAAGACAATAGGGGTGAGGATTTTGCCTTATCTTTTTCTTCCGTTATTTTTTTTATTCGATTGTGTAAAAGTTATAACCAATGATTTTTTTTTTAATCTCATTTTTTCATTATGTTTAGAATACTATATAAATTAAACTCAAGACCTCTTTTCTATCACAATTTTTAGGTTATTTTTTATTTTGATTAGGATTTGACCAAAATTGAATTAATTTGTTTTTTTTTAAATGACACCTAACCAATTTTTATAAACTTTTGAATATCAAATACTCCATGTAAAATTTTGTAAGCTATGAAACTCCTAATGCTTTGGGCACAAGAAAACAAGAAATCTAGTCACGAATTTGGGTCCATAGATTCATAAATCTAATTATTATAAAGGAGAAAAGTTGAAATGTGTTTTGTAGACATTTCAAAATCTTCAAACGCCATAATAGTAATCATAACATATGACGCAGCCATCATTGTGTTCGGATTCGTTACATATGGTAGAGGTCAACGTCGGATTCATTTTTAAATTCAGAACTAAGTATATGGACCCCAAAAATTGGTTTTGGTTATTTTCTTGATATATTTTTTTGTTTTGTAAAAGTTATTTTAATTCGACTTCATTTCGGCTCGAATTCAGTCTTCAACTAAAAAGACATAATTTTTTATTTTCTTCATTCCCATTATTTTCATTTTTTATTGGAATTCAACCAAAAATAAATCAGACCATATGATTAATGAATCAAAATATTTATTAATTATCAGTAAGTAATAGTTTAATTATGTATGTTTGAAAAAAATCGATAGAATCATGTACGAAAATTGATGTCTTTATGGGAATATTTAAATGATTAAAGTATTTATATATGAGAAAATATAAGATTTTTACAATTTGATGTTTTTTAGGTTTTTTAGCAACATTGGGCCAAGAGCCACTGATTGGGCCTAGTGAGGGCCCTTATTGCTACTACAACGGCTAGTGAGATATCTTTTCCCACGTATACAAATGAATTTTTTGCCACCCGTTCGTCTTCTCCACCATAGCGAGAATCAAAGACCAGAAAGGAAGGAAAAAAACCCTTGAATCGTAATCTCCAGATTTGATTTTTTTTTTTTGCGCAAAGGAATATTACTCTCCTGTCGTTTTCCTTCGAACAGAGGTAAAATCCATCTCCGTCTTTAAGCATTTTGTCCTCCTCGATCTTGCGATGCTGTTTTTTTTGGGGTATTTGGTTTTTTGTTGTTCATGGGTTCTTGGGGAATTCATGGCGGTATCTGTTTATATATTGCTTTGGGAGTATGGTGTGATCTGTTGAAGCATGACATGGGTTCGGTGAAATGTACAGTTTTTGTTTAATTCCTTATTGGATTTCTGGAATCGAACCTGCGAATTTAGGGTTCGACTGATTAAGGGTAGGTAGTGTATGTAAATTTGATCCGTCGATTCTTGAGATTCTGGGTTTTTTGGGAACTCTGGTCCCTGTATCTGCGTTCTTCGCTTCTTCTCTCTGTCAAGTTTATCTTTGATCATGGCAAGCCTTGTTCATTTAGATTCAGGAGAGCAGAATGGCGAACCCTACCATTCACCGGCAGATGATTTTCTCCGACGAGAATGCTCACTTTCAGCGCAAAAGTACGAAATTTTGTGTGTCGAAATCCGGCATTCATCAAAGATTAGAACATCGATTTCGGTTCCAGTTTGCTAATAACACGAGTGATTTTTGCCATTTTAGAATCTGTTGCTGCTGCTGCTGGTGGGAAAACAAAAGGCTCAGTAATAGCTCCAAAGAAACTCGGAAACCGCAAGGCTCTGGGCGATATTACGAACAAGTCGGGGGCTCACCCAACAGCAGCAGCTTCATCGAAGCAGAGGAAGATTGTTGAGAAGGAGGGAGTCAATGTAGCCGAGGAGAGGTTCTTGCATGATCACAGCAAATGCGTCAAAGAACAGCAGATGTTCTGGGATGATCACCTCTCTGATCTGATTGCTCTTCAAAACGGTAAATATTATTAGGTTTTGTATGTTCGAACTAATCTAATCCCTTTTCAGACTTCTGTCTTAACTGTCTGGCCAACCATTTTAAGCGTTCCAAGCTTTGGTTTGTCTCTGTGCAGACCCCAGTAGGAACAAAGAGCATCTCAAGGTTAACACGAAAACGGTATGCCTGTATAGTTCATGAATTATCTTTACCAAAACCTTAGTTTTCTGCAACTGTCATATATATATTGGTGGGAAACCAGGATGAAACTATCACAACCCAGGAATGCAAATGCGATTTCAAGCGAGACGCAACTAGAAAATCCAATGAAGTTTGATACAAAATTTAGGAAATGCCCACAAGATTGAACCTTCATGTTCTTCTGTCTACCTTGAAATCAGCTTCTGACCTTTTGGGCAAAACTCTCTGGCAACTGTCTCTTATGTTATTATTTGCTTTTAGATGGATGCTAAGAACCCTGTCTTTTGCAACGAACCAGAAGAGATGCCATCGCCCAAGTTGTCTGACTGGCTGAAAAGCTCAACTCCATGGCACTCTCCCGTCCGCCATGACTCTTTCTCCTTGTCGCCTCGTCCTTGGGGCTTCGATTCAATGGAATTCAAGCTCAAAGAAGACCAAGACTTTTGAATTCTGTTTCCAGGTTCATTTGGAAATCATCCTCCAGATGATATAGAGACTGGCTCTTACAGTCAATAGTCAGGATTTCATCCATCTCTTTGTCGACATTGTAACAGTTCTTTCAGACAATTCGGACTACTTTGCTTGTATGCCTAACTGAATTTTCAGGGTGTGTATGCTCAAGCTCAAGCTCAAACAGGGAATCCAAGCGAACGAACAGAATCAAACCAAAATCGAAGAACATACTGCTTTGAGATTATAAAGTTTTAATCTTTATGATTGACACTTGATTAACAAGATGAACACGTCCACAACATCAACAATCCTATCTACTAACAATCTAGAAGCTGGCATAGAAGTATCGCAAGAACAATCGCTAAATCGTTAGATACTTACACCGCCACTACTCTTTCTCATTCTTCAAAATCTGGTCTTGCTTAAGCTGTGATATCTCTAACTGGGTCTTCAAGAACTGCATTCTCTGCAACTCGAGCTCCTTTAAGAACTTCATCCTCTCCTTCTCCATCTCTGCCATTTGTTTCAGCTTCGCCGTCTCTGCCTTCTCATACGATTCAGTGAACCTCAGCATCGCTCTAACCAGCTCCCCCAACTCCCTTTCTCCCCGGCCTCCCGTCTTATCTATCTTCACCCGCTTCGCCGACAGCAGCCGCGGCGCCGGCAGACTATCCCCGGAGTCGCCGGAGAGCTCAGGCTCTGATTCCGACTCCGTCTCCGATGCGCTTCTCTTCCTGAAATGCCACCCTGTTGATTCATTGCACCTTCTCACAACCCCTTCTTGCTGCGGCGGTGTCGCCTTGGCTTGGCGTTGGTACGGATTCCAACGGCTATATATCGGAATTCCCATGGGTCCCCCCCCGCCGGTACTGGGAAAATTCGCGGCGGCTCCGAGTAAGCGGTCGAGCTTCTCGAAGAAGACCCATTTGCTAGGGCCACCACAGGCGGCGATTCTGGCCTTCTCTTGCTTATACTTCTTCTTCACCGTATCGATCCTGTTCTTACACTGTAGATCAGTCGGAGATTTACCGAAACCCTCCCTGCTCACGATCTCCGCCACATCCTTCCAATGCTTCTGCTTCAGATTCCCTCTGCTCAGCTCCAAAAACCTCTCTCCCCACGCATCAATCAGCACCGCCGTCGCTGCTTCGCTCCAACAGTCCTCTCTCCCCCCTCCGCCAGATCTGCCGTTGCTGCTATTGCCGCCTCCACCGGCCACCACCGCCTGGCTGAGAGGCATCAACGCCGAAGACAGATCCGGCTTCGTTTGGTTTCTCGGCGGAGAAAGATCCGGTGAATGTGATGTCGCCGGTGGAGTCTCTCCGTCTTCCTCCATGGACGCCGGTTGGAAAATTAGGCGATCGGGCTGGGAAAATATAAAAAATACTAGGGTTTCTAAAAAATATCTCGGTTTCCGAAAAAACCATATATTTTGAACAAATAACGAGAATACCATTGAGATATAAAAAATCCACACTTTAAAGAAAATAATGAAAATACAATTAAAACGGTGTGATAAGTGTGTGATTATAAACTCGATCGATTTTTATTGGTAGAACAAAAAATATAAAATCTTTTCTTTTAAACTAACTAATAATATTAAAAAAGGATAAAATAAAAGAATTAAGTAAGAAACTTGATAAAATAATTCATCTATAGGGAATTAGTAAATTAAAAACAAACAAAATTATGAAAAATTAAAAGAATACATAAAGTAATAAAATGACTAAATCAGTAAAATAGATATTGAAAAAACACGAGAAAAATTTTTTGAATTAAAAGAACTAATGATAAATAATACAAAAATTTAACATAAATAACTATTTATATTTATACCAATAAACAAATCAAAATTATGAAAAAACCAAAGGAAAAGAATTAGCAATATTGAATGAAGATGAAATGCCACAAATAATAAATATAATAGATCAATTATACAATTTGGAATATCCTATATAAAAAAAATATTAGGATAATTCTATTGTTATCTAATATAAATTAAACGATCAGATTTTATAGAAAAAAGAAAATAATCCTTTCTCTATAACGTATCATATCAACTATGTATTAATTAATAGTAATCATAGTCTGCAACTTTAGAAATACAAAGATTATAGAAATATATGATCTATTCAAACCATTGATCTATCTAAAAAGATCAATGACAATAATAGAATCAAGTTGTATTTTTTTATTACAAATCCAATATTATAAATAGAAGAACATTACTAAATGAATTTTAATTAAGAATTTATTGAAAAATTATCTTTACTAAATATTAAAATTTTATCATATATTATTCATTGATAATAAATATTGATTGAAACAACTAATAACATGTTAAGAGAATCATTCATATTCCTTCTCAACATGTTAATATTGTAAAAAGTGGTCGAGAATTAAAAATGATCCGTAAAATATTAGAAATAGTAAGATAAATAAGAAGAGATCTCGAAAACGTGTGTGGTAATAAATACTGAATTTGAGGTTTGATAGTGTCACATATCAAAGATTAAAATATATCTAAAAAATTATTGAATTACAAAAATATGTACAAAAATCTTTGAAACATTAAATGATTTACTACTAATAAATAGAATGATTAATGAAATAAATAAATATATTATGATGAAAAAAAGAAAAACGGAATATTTTAGATTACAATCAACAAAAGGTCATTATTATGGAGATTGGTATACGAAATTAAAATAAACTATAAATCAAACAAAAGAAATATTAAAATTTTAAAGAATTAGAATCTCATTAATAAAACAAATAATATATTAGGGGTAGTAGTGGAATTTTTGGATTTTCAAAGGTGGTCAGCAAGTGTTACTAGATGGATTTTTGGATTTGCAAAAGGGCCGATTAGACTTTAGATCTGGTCGATGTTCGAAGAAAAAGGAGATTCCGTCGCCGGAGAGAGGATAATCATATGAATTTACCAAAAAGCCCCCATGCGCTTGAAGGAATATTCTCTTAGCAATTCATTCACTTCCTTGAATAAACTGAAACTACATCTGGTCGGTAAACAACATTTTTATTTGTGTCCTTTGACTCGTTTAACTCAAATAACCTAAAAGATACAAATAAGCTAATTTTCAGCACATGATAAAATTGGAATCCTTGCATGTAAACTTGACTTTTTTAATAACTAGGAAGTTAACCGATCTGAATAGTTCAAACGTTGAAATGGATGTACAAAGTGTTTGTCCCGCCCCAAATTCAAATTCCAAGTTGGGGAGGAGGTATTCACTTGACTTTCCTCTAGTCTTAGGATTAGTTTGGGCATCGGCACAGGATATCCGGTTGCCCAAAAAACCTAGAAAGTTTATTGGCCTTCGGCGCACTTAATCTACTGGATTCAGAATTAGTCTTTAATTACACAAATAATTACATCCATTCCTTTCTAATAGTGGAATCGAACTCATAACCTTGATTTGAGTGTAACACGTTATAATAAAACAAATTCGGATAACAAATTCAAAGAGATCGAACGGATCTCAATATTAACCCTAAAGCGTAGAGTCGAATAATCCACCATCAGATGAATGAAACAAAGCCATATCCTTTAGCCATCGTAGGATTCAGACACAGGTCGGAAAGTTTCACGGCTCAACAGTCCTTGTTCGTCCCGTTTCAACGGTTAGGTTCGAACAAGCAAAACAGAATGCTCGTCACGTTTTTACGAGGTGGGGGCTCTGTAGTTGTATGAGGACGATGACGAAACATCGTGTCCCGAGGACGAAACCTTATGGTTTCTCCTGTTTCTCCGGCCACTGCCGCCGCCTTTTACCATCTTTCCTTTCTTGAAATCTTGTTAGTGTTTCACCTGCTCCGTCCAATTCGTGCGTAAAAAAGAAACCACGAAAATCAGTAACCAACAACTCAAACATTCAGGTAAGAACTCAAGAACATGACAGGGAATTCAGTATATCGCTTGCTCGGATTATTGAACTAGCCTAAAAGTAAGCTTATGATGATCCCCACGAGATACGAGAAAAGGGCATAAGAAAGAGAGTAACACCCTAAATGCATTCATCCCTCTCCAACAGATGGATTCGAACCGGTGATCGGGGTCCGAGAGCAACACCCTTTCAACCACTCGCCCAGTAAGTAGTGGGCGAGTGGTTGAAAGGGTGTTGCTCTCGGGTCCCCGTCACCAGTTTGAATCCAGCTACTGGAGAGGCAGAGGAGCATTTAGGGTGTTGCTCTCTAGACCCTTAGATGTACTTTAAAGGTTGTTCCCAGTGCGTGGAAGATGTAGTCGGGTCGAAGATCCAGTGAACTTTCTAGTTATAAAAAAACTTAGTCCCACGCAGAAGCGGTGAGGACGTGATTTGACCAAATTGAATTAATATTTTTTTAAATTGACACGTAATCAATTTTTATAAAACTTTTGGATATCAAATACTCCATGTAAAATTTTGTAAACTATGAAACTCCTAATGCTTTGGGCACACGAAAACAAGAAATCTAGTCACGAATTTTTATTCATAGATTCATAAATCTAATTATTATAAAGGAGAAAAGTTGAAATGTGTTTTGTAGACATTTCAAAATCTTCAAACGCCATAATAGTAATCATAACATATGATGCAGCCATCATTGTGCTTAGATTCGTTACATATGATAGAGGTCAACGTCGGATTCATTTCTAAATTCAGAACTAAGCAAATGGACCCCCATGATTGGTTTTCGTTCTTTTCTTGATATATTTTTGTTTTATAAAAGTTATTTTAATTCGATTTCATTTCGGCTCGAATTCAGTCTTCAACTAAAAAATATAATTTTTTTACTTTCTTCATTCCCATTATTTTCATTTTTTTATTGGAATTCAACCAAAAATAAAGAATCAGATCATATGAATAATGAATCAGAATGTTGATTAATTATTATTAAATAACAGTTTATTCATATATATTTTTAAAAATATATGTAGATAAAATTGATGTCTTTATGCGAAATATCTAAACGATTAAAGTATTTATATATGAGAAAATATAAGATTTTTACAATTTTATGTATTTTTTTAGGGTTTTGTTTAGATCAAGCAATATTGGGCCAAGAGCCACTGATTGGGCCTAGCCTAGGCCCTTATTGCTACTACAACGGCTAGTAACGGCTAGTAAGATATCCTTTTCCACGTATATAAATGAATTTTTGCCACCCGTCCGTCTTCTCCGCCATAGCGAGAATCAAAGACCAGAAAGAAAGGGGGAAAAAACCTTGAAACGTAATCTTCAGATTTGATTTTTTTTGCGAAAACGAATAATACACTCTTGTCGTTTTCCTTCGAACAGAGGTAAAATTCGTCTTCGGCGTCATGCATATGTCCTCTTCGATCTTTTATTTTATTTTAATTTTTGCGAAAAGGAATAATACTCTCTTGTCGGGTCTTTGGGAATTCATGGCGGTATCTGTTTATATATTGCTTTGGGATTATGGTGTGATCTGTTGAAGCGTGATATGGGTTCGGCGAAATGTACATTTTTTTTTTGTTTAATTCCTTATTGGATTTCTGGAGTCAAACCTGCGAATTTAGGGTTCGACTGATTACGGATGGCATGCAATTTTGATCCGTTTTTGTGTTCGATTCTTGAGATTCTGGGGCTTTTCGGGACTCCCCAATCACTGTATTAGAAATCAGTCCTTTGTTTCCTCTCTCTCTTTAGTTTATCTTTGATCATGGCAAGCCTTGTTCATTTAGATTCAGGAGAGCAGAATGGCGAACCCAACCATTCACCGGCAGATGATTTTCTCCGACGAGAATGCTCACTTTCAGCGCAAAAGTACGAAATTTTGTGTGGCGAAATCCGGCATTCATCAAAGATTAGAACATCGATTTCGGTTCCAGTTTGCTAATAACACGAGTGATTTCTGCCATTTTAGAATCTGTTGCTGCTGCTGGTGGTGGGAAAACTAAAGGCTCGGTAATAGCTCCAAAGAAACTCGGAAACCGCAAGGCTCTGGGCGATATTACGAACAAGTCGGGGGCTCACCCAACAGCAGCAGCTTCATCGAAGCAGAGGAAGATTGTTGAGAAGGAGGGAGTCAATGTAGCCGAGGAGAGGTTCTTGCATGATCACAGCAAATGCGTCAAAGAACAGCAGATGTTCTGGGATGATCACCTCTCTGATCTGATTGCTCTTCAAAACGGTAAATATTATTAGGTTTTGTATGTTCGAACTAATCTAATCCCTTTTCAGACTTCTGTCTTAACTGTCTGGCCAACCATTTTAAGCGTTCCAAGCTTTGGTTTGTCTCTGTGCAGACCCCAGTAGGAACAAAGAGCATCTCAAGGTTAACACGAAAACGGTATGCCTGTATAGTTCATGAATTATCTTTACCAAAACCTTAGTTTTCTGCAACTGTCATATATATATTGGTGGGAAACCAGGATGAAACTATCACAACCCAGGAATGCAAATGCGATTTCAAGCGAGACGCAACTAGAAAATCCAATGAAGTTTGATACAAAATTTAGGAAATGCCCACAAGATTGAACTGAACCTTCATGTTCTTCTGTCTACCTTGAAATCAGCTTCTGACCTTTTGGGCAAAACTCTCTGGCAACTCTCTTATGTTATTATTTGCTTTTAGATGGATGCTAAGAACCCTGTCTTTTGCAACGAATCAGAAGAGATGCCATCGCCCAAGTTGTCTGACTGGCTGAAAAGCTCAACTCCATGGCACTCTCCCGTCCGCCATGACTCTTTCTCCTTGTCGCCTCGTCCTTGGGGCTTCGATTCAATGGAATTCAAGCTCAAAGAAGACCAAGACTTTTGAATTCTGTTTCTAGGTTCTTTCGGAAATCATCCTCAGATGATATAGAGACTGGCTCTTTCAGACAATTCGGTTCGGACTAGTTTGTTTGTATGCCTAACTGAATTTTCAGGGTTGTGTTTTTTGTCTACCCACTGAAGTCTACAGCTCAAGCTCAAGCTCAAGCAGGAAATCCAATCGAACCAAACCAAACCAAACCGAACCCATTGATCAGTCTAAAAGTGTTCACATTGTTCTTGTTTCTTCCCGAAGATACTTCTGCTTTGAGATGATAAAGTTTGAATCTTTATACTTGATTAACAAGATGAACATCCACAACATCAACAATCCTATCTATTAGCAATCTAGAAGCTAGAATAGAAGTATCGCAAGGACAATCGCTAAATAGTTAGATACTTACATCACCATTACTCTTTCTCATTCTTCAAGCTCTGGTCTTGCATAAGTTGTGATATCTCTAACTGGGTCTTCAAGAATTGCATTCTCTGCAACTCGAGCTCCATCAAGAACTTCATCCTCTCCTTCTCCATCTCTGCCATTTGTTTCAGCTTCGCCGTCTCTGCCTTCTCATACGCTTCAGTGAACCCCCGAATCGCTCTAACCAGCTCCCCAAACTCCCTGTCTCCCCGGCCTCCCGTCTTATCTATCTTCACCCGCTTCGCCGACAGCAGCCGCGGCGCCGGCAGACTATCCCCGGAGTCGCCGGAGAGCTCAGGCTCTGATTCCGACTCCGTCTCCGATGCGCTTCTCTTCCTGAAATGCCACCCTGTTGATTCATTGCACCTTCTCACAACCCCTTCTTGCTGCGGCGGTGTCGCCTTGGCTTGGCGTTGGTACGGATTCCAACGGCTATATATCGGAATTCCCATGGGAATCTTGGGGGGGGATTCCCCGCCGCCGGTACTGGGAAAATTCGCGGCGGCTCCGAGTAAGCGGTCGAGCTTCTCGAAGAAGACCCATTTGCTAGGGCCACCACAGGAGGCGATTCTGGCCTTCTCTTGCTTGTACTTCTTCTTCACCGTATCGATCCTGTTCTTACACTGTAGATCTGTCGGAGATTTACCGAAACCCTCCCTGCTCACGATCCCCGCCCCATCCTTCCAATGCTTCTGCTTCAGATTCCCTCTGCTCAGCTCCAAAAACCTCTCTCCCCACGCATCGATCAGCACCGCCGTCGCTGCTTCGCTCCAACAGTCCTCTCTCCCCCCTCCTCCAGATCTGCCGTTGCTGCTATTGCCGCCTCCACCGGCCACCACCGCCTGGCTGAGAGGCATCAACGCCGAAGCGTCCAGCGGAGACGAGGGAGCAGAAGCCGGTGGCTCCGGCTTCGTTTGGTTTCTCGGCGGAGAAGACAGATCCGGCGAATGTGATGTCGCCGGTGGAGTCTCTCCGTCTTCCTCCATGGACGCCGGTTGAAAAATTAGGCGATCGGGCTGGGAAAATATCAGCAATACTAGGGTTTCCAAAAATTATCTCGGTTTTCGAAAAAACCATACATTATTGGCCAAATAACGAAAATACCATTATGAAAGAAAAAAAACCCAACGACTTTAAAGAAAATAATGAAAATGCCATTAAACCGCGTGAATGTGTGACTAAAAAATGATTAAACGATTAGATCAAAATAGATGCATCAATATACAATTTGGACTATCCTAAAAGAAAAATATTTGAATAAACTGAACGATGAGATTTATGAAAAAATAAAAGCATCATTCCTGTATAATACATCATATCAACTATACATTAACTAATAGTAATCATAGTCTTAAACTTTATAAACAAAGAGATTATAGATATAAATAATCTTTTCAAACTAGTGCTCTATCTAAAAAGACCAATCGTAAATCTTTATTACGAAAAGATACAAGAATTACCATCAATGATATCACATATTAGACAATTAAAAGACTCTGAACTAAAAATCATATTTCAGATTAATAGCCTTATTAAATGAATTTTAACGAATAATGTAATTAGGGGTAATATTGGAATTTTTAGGGTTTACAAAGGTATTCATTGTGGAGTGTCTTCAGCAAAGCCTCCAAATGGAGGAGAGGTTCCCGAAGTCTCCAGGCGAAGTGGAAGCTTTCAAAGCTTCTGGGCGAAACAGAAGGTTCGAGGGGGCAAATGGGTCATTTGTTAAGGTCATTAATCTGACCTAGGTTTTGTGTTGTTCCCTATCTCGCATTTTTCCGGTTCTGGTTCTTTCTCTCTCTGACGGAGGCGATTTTCGCTTCTCCGTGTTCGGGACCGCCGTTCGGCGGTTTCCGGCGGAAACTCCGGTTGTAAACCCTAGCTACGAACGCGGCTTCCTCTTCCCGAGACGTAGGCCCGAGCTTTATGCTCGGTGCTGAACTCGTATCTCGACTGTGTCCTCTGTTTTCTTTTTCCGTTCAAACACACGAGTGATCGGAGAGAATGGCGAGGCGGACCTCGACCGGGGCTGATCCACAACAAGTGGTATCAGAGCCCGGTTGCGGGGCAAGCGGTGGCTCGACGGCGTCTCGATTCGTCCAGGTAAGGTTCATCCGGTAGGGTTTCGGTTCTGAACTTTCTGACGTGTTTTCTTGAGAGTTTCAGAGATAGAAACAAGAAAAGGAGGCCGGAAATGGACAGATCGGAGGAAGAGACGGCGGTATCGAGCGGCGGATCGGCAGATCTAAGGTCGAGGTAAGTCGAGGTACGTCGGATTTTAGATCTGAGCGTTCTGATGTTTCTTTCGAGTGTTTCAGGGCTCGGAACAGAGAGAGCGAAGGTCAGAAGGTCAGATCGGCGGTGAAAGATCCTGTGACGGAGCTCAGACCGGTGGGACGAAGATCGGTAAGTCTCGGATCTAACTCGAGCTGAGTCAATCAGCCGAGTTCAGAGCCCGAGGAGGTAAGTTGTGCCTGTGTGCGGTTAGATCTAGGGTTTCTGGGTGAAAACCGGTGGAGAACCGGCGATTTTCCGGCGAAATTGGCCGTGACTCGCCGAGTCGCGGCTGAGTCGGAGAATCGGGGTGAGTCAACCACCGGGTTGACTCGGGTGACTCGGCGGCTTCCGCATTCCGAAATTAGGGTTTTCGGTTTAAACCGGTTTAGCCGGTTTAAATCCGATTGAGTAATTAAACCCGGTTCAATTTTTCAATCGAACCGGTTTAGGTCGGTCAGGTCAAACCATTGACCAAAATTGGTCAACAGTTGACCGGTTAGGTCAAACCGGACCGGTTCAGGTCAATTGGACCGGTTCAGGTCCGGTTTGGGGTCAATTGGACCGGTTCAGTCCGGTTCAGGTCAATCCAGGTCCGGTTTAGGACAATTAGGTCTGGTTTAGGACAATTAGGTCCGGTTTAAGTCAGTCCAGGTCCGGTTTAGGATAATTAGGTCCGGTTTAGGTCATTCCAGGTCCGGTTTAGGTCGATTGAGTCCGGTTTAGGTCATTCCAGGTCCGGTTTAGGCCAATTGAGTCCGGTTTTGGTCAATTGAGTCTGGTTTAGGTCAATCTAGGTCTGGTTGTGGTCAATTCAGGCTAGGTTAGGCTGGTTTAGGTCTAATTAGGGTCTGATTTGTTCGGTTCTGTCTAATTCAGACTGGTTTAGGGCAATTAAGTCGGGTAGAGGTCAATGTAGGCCGGTTTAGACTTGATATAGGTCTGATGTAGGTCTGTTTTGTCCGGTTAAGGCTAGAATTGTCCGGGTTTAGATCAATAGGGTTCGGTTTAGGTAAATCAAACTAGGTATAGGCTGGAATAGGTCTGATTTAGGTCTGGTTTATCGGTATAGGACAAGTATTGATCAGGTTAAGGTCTGAATTCGTGGTTTAGGACCAGATTAGATCGGTTTAGGGTCTGGAGTGTGTAATTAGGACTAGAACTAACTGGTTTAGGGTTAGGTTGGTCCATATAGGTCTGACGGTGTCTGGTTTAGGGCATAGTGGACTAATTGAGGGTAGATTAGGGTCTGTAGTGATCGGTTTACCCTGCTAGGTTGGTCTAGTACTCAATTTGGCTTGGTTTAGTGAAAATTCACTAGGGTTAGATCTCGGTGTGCTAATGTAGGTCATAGATTCCGGTTTCTGTTCAGTATAGGTCTGAATAGGTGGATTTGACTACGTTTTAGCTGGGTAAGAGGTCGGGTTAGGCTTAAATAAGCTGGTTACAGGTCTGTAGTAGACTGTCTAGGTCTGATATAGGTCTGTAAGTGCTGTTTAGGTCTTGTTTAGCCAAATTTGGGTTAGTCTAGCTTAGTCTAGGTCTGATCAGTAGGCAATTAGGTCAAAATAGACTTGGTTAGGTCTGATTAGAGGTTTAGAATGTCTATAGAGACAGTGTCTAGGTCTGATCAGATTAGTATCTGATTGTAGATTTAGGTATTATCTAGTTTAGGACTAGATAGGACTCCTAAGTATAGTTTTGAGTCATAGAGTCCGGTACATTGACCGGTTAGGTCTGATTAGTTGGGATTCGACTAAAACGGGTAGGCTTAGGGGTTGGTTAAGTCTAGAATCACTAGGTATAGGTCTGTAGGGGTCGGTTTAGATCAGGGCAGGTCTATAGGGGTTGGTTTTAGGCGTTTATAAGGTCTGATCAGATTAGAATTAGGTCAATTAGGCTTAGTTCAGGTCTGATTAGGGTGCTAAAAGTCTAATCAGGGGTTGGTAAGTCAATAGGGGTTGGCTTAGTTTTGATGATTAGGACTTTTAGGTGATTGACTAGGACTTAGGATCATCTAATCAGGGGTTGGTCGACTAGGGTTGGCTTAGGTCTGATGAGGGTCGTGTAATGGTCTAGTCGGGACTTTTGGTTGTCTAACTAGGGCTGTTAGGGTCTAGGTAGCACTTGGGTAGGTCTGATTAGGACTTTGTGAGGGGCCGGGTAGACTCGGGATCGTAGGACTGGTTAGGACTGTGTTGGGGGCCATGTAGACTCGGTGTT